TATTAGAATTTGAAAGATAATAACAATATTGATTGATAAGTGAGATCTGATTTTAGTCCTTGAAAACCAAAAAAGTAGTGCTAAAAAAGTCCTGGAATTTTATTTTGCAGTATCTGTACGAACCCTGTTTAAGTAACCAGTTCTTGGACCATTTTTATGTTTCTGTTGTTGTTAATTGAACTGAACTGTAGTTTTCTGTAGTATGACTTAATATCTTTTGTTGTGCTTATTTGCAGGGCTTTGTGATTACATATCAGTATTACTTAAAAATAAAAAAATAAATATTATTGTTGTTGTTTGTATTTCTAAATAAAAATATTAAACAATATAAGAAATATCACTATTGTAATAGTTCACCGTAAAATAAAAACACTCAGTATTTAAGCAAAATAAAGTTGCATGATCCCTTTATCAGTCTTAAAATCGATGCCTCATAACCGTGTTCATCTGCAAGTGTCATAATATCAGGCTGTTTGGTCAGATCATAAAGAAGACGCGGTTCCCGCACTGGGATGAGACTCTTGAGTTGAGTTTGGATGAAGGTGATGATGATGAGGGTGGAAACGTGATGGTGGAGGTCTGGGACTGGGACATGGTGGGCAAGAAGTGTGTGTGTGTGTGTGTGTTATACAGTCACATTCATTAGTCACATCGTGTGTGTGATGGTAATTTAATTTAATGACGAGCTGCTTTCTCGTCACATTAAGGAAGTGAATTCACTGAGAATGAAGTCCTCCCATTGATACTGTATCCGATTCACTAAAGCAAGGATTCCCAAACTTTTGTCAGCCGAGTGACTTTAAGCTAAACCATTTTCTTGAAATACCCCCTAAAATTTTAAGTTAATATTTCAATAATTTAACAACACATTTGCATGCCAGTTAATATACAGATCAAATGCAGGTAAACTAAATATTATTATTTATATTTTAAATAATTTTTTGTATTATATTATATTATATTATAATTTTTTTATATTATATTTATATTTTTATATTATATGTTTTCTTTTATATTTATATTAATAGTAAGTGTTAAATATTTAATATGAGTGTTTTTATGGGTAATATATTTAATATATGGATTTTAATGGATTTTATTAAAAAAAATTATTTATTTATAATTTGAAATGTTTTCATTTATTAATTACACTGCAGAAATCATTTACGTACTCAATATTTTTGTCTTGCTTTCCAGTGCAATATCTAAACATTCTTAAATCAAGATACATTTGAGATGCAAAATTACTTAAGATATTAAGCCTTGTTTACTGAAAAAAATCATCAAAATTAAGTGAGTTTTTGCTTAAAATAAGAACAAATATCTGTCAATAGGGTCAGAAAAATACACTTAATTCAAAGGGTTAATTCAACACACTGAAAGGTATTTTTTCTTGTTTTATGCATGAACTCACTTAATGTTTCAGCATTTTGAATCTCAGGTAAATATGATTTAAGAATGTTTAGATATTTGCACTGGAAAGCAAGACAAAAATATTGAGTACGTAAATGATTTCTGCAGTGTCATTAATAAATGAAAACATTTCAAATTATAAATAAATAGATTTTTTAATAAAATCCATTAAAATACATATATTAAATATATTACCCATAAAAACACTCATATTAAATATTTAACACTTACTATTAATATAAATATAAAAGAAAACATATAATATAAAAAAAATTATAGTACTGGGAAAAAAAGACAAAAACACTAAGTAAAAAATGCATTTTGCACTCACAGGCCGGCTCTGATGATTTAGGTTGAGGAGGATAAAACACAATATCTAGTAGAGTGAAAGTGCTGTTATGAAGCACACAGACACATGATGACTGACCGTCTCTCTCTGTTTTTCTGTGTTTCAGAGGTAAACTGGGTGCTCTGCGTCTGAAGGTGCGTTTGGCCGAGGAGAGGATTCTTCCGTCTGTGTACTATCAGCCTCTGATTGAGCTGCTGGTGGAGGCCGTCATCTCGCCGTCAGAGGTACATCACACACCTGTCTGTCTCAGACCTCACAGATATCATCGGAGGACATCATTTAGTGCTTCAGCTTTACTCCAATAACAGATGAAACCTAGAACCAAAAATAAAGACTCGAAACCACTGAAGGTGAACCACAGTGATGTAACCAGTGTCAAATTTAGTTTCAATTTAGTTACATTCCTGAACTTGAACAGAAGCTGAATTGAGGCGGTAAACAGAATGCATAATCTTAATTTAAATTTGAATTTCATTTAAAAGGGAATTGAGAGCGCGCTGGATTGGCTGATAAATAACCTAAAAGTAAAAAAAAAAAAAAATTAAAACAAAGTAATAATAATAATATTGATATAATAATTTTTATTTTTATTATTTATATATTAATAAATATAAATAATGATAATTTATAAATAAATTGCTATTTTATAAATAGTTATTATTATTATTAAATAAAAATATTGAAATTACTAAATAAAAATCAAAATGAGAAACTACTATTGGACTAGGGCTGCACAGTTTTGTTATTATATCAATATAGCTATAAAATAATAATATTATTATTGTTAGTATTAGTATTATTACTAAATAAAAATATAAATATTTAGTTTATTTCTAAATAAATGTTACTATTATATAATATTGCATTGTTTAAAAAATAATGAGCATTTAGGAAAAATATTGTCATAATAATATAATATAATTTTATTTTATTTTACATTATAACTGTAAATTTAGAATGCTAATTTTTATGGCAGTCTTAATTTAGTCATTTTTCAAACTTTAAACCATCAAACAAAAATACTTAATTAAATCTCAGCCTCAGCCTTTAATTAATTAATTGGTTTTATTACGATTCATCGTGCAGCCTTGGTTACCTGTACTTACTTTTTCCTATGGATGACACTCGTAGTAAAATATATGCACAGATGATCATTTCTGGTCGGGGTTTGTTCTGATGGACTCTGGAGGAAGAAACACATGGACTTGTTTTCTGTTTCTCCCCAACAGCAGATCCAAACACACTCTTCCGGTCCAACTCACTGGCCTCCAAAGCCATGGAGCAGTTCATGAAGGTGTGTGTGCACCTTCCTCTGAGATATAAGCTTGTGTTTTTAACATGTGACTGTACTCAGAAGGTCCGTGTGTTTCTCAGGCCATCGGGATGTTGTATCTACACGAGGTTCTGAAGCCCATTATCAACCGCATCTTTGAGGAAAGGAAATACGTGGAGTTGGATCCCTGCAAGATAGACCTCAACCGCTCCAGGTGTGTAGAAACACACACACACACACACACACACAACACGGTAGTTCATTCATGCAGTATATCATCAGATGAAACAGCCATGATCTGGAAAAATAACTGTGTTGCCAGGCAACAGCAGTGAACTCTCCAAACTTTGGCTTTTAGATCTATGTATAGCATGAGAAATGCCACTGAGCACCAAACGTCTCCAGGTTTTATATTTATTTAAAATATTATATACATCGCCTTTCAGAAGTGTGGGGTCGGTATGATATTTTAATGTTTTTGATAGTCTCTTCTGCTCACAAGGCTGCATTTATTTGATATTTGAAATACTGGAAAAAATTTAATATTATTAGAATTTTAAATAAAACTTATATTTAAATATATGTAAAATATTAAAAAATATTACTAACATTTAAAAAAAACTGTAAAATATTGATAAAAATAGTATAGGACAGTATGGGACAGAATCTAAATATTCTAAATATTTGTTTATTCCTTAAATTTACAACTTTTTTATGTATACACCATTGGCAAGATTTTTTAATGTTTTATAAGAAGTCTCTTCTGGTCGCCATTTGGTCATGCATGTAATTGATTAAAAATACAGTAAAAACAGGAAAATTGTGACGTGTTTTTTGAACCTTAAACCGCATAAACACATTTCATTACACCAAATACACAACATAATGTTCTTTTTAGCAACGTCATATGACCCCTTTAATTAAACTGCATTTAATAACCCTAATGCAGGCCTAAAAACATTCAACATAACATCTAAATCATGTTCTGTGATCTGTTGAATTCCTCTTCCTGTCATTCCAATGAAACATCCCGTGTGAATTGCATGTTCTTACGCTGTGAATTGTGCCCGATGCTGTCAGGTGGATGAGCCCACACCCCTGACCCTGCTGGAGGAGGTCACGACGGTGGAGAGCCGGCAGATCGTGGCCATGACGCTGGTCAAGATCTATCTGGGTCAGGGTCTGGTCGTGCCGTTCCTGGACTACCTCAACACCAGAGAGGTCCACAACACCAGTACGTGAGCGTGTGATATGTGTGTTTTCTGTGTGTAGGCGTCGTGACGACTTCAGTCCAGCTATATTTACCCACAGAAGTCATCTGAACTTCTCCTCTCTCATTAATGATGTTTTGTGCTGTGCGAGCGCGTGGGTTGTTCACACTCGGCTGGGGTTTTATGTTGTGTTTGTGATGACAAACAGAGTGCCTGCGTTTCCATAGCAACTCCACAGGAAGCAGCTTCAAAAGGAAACGGAACAATCATAAGATTGGAATGTTCGTCAGCGAGCGACAAAACCGTCGCGCAAGTTACAACTCAAGCAGAAAGAGTTTTAATGCAGCTATATCAGGGTCTTTTCTGTCAGATATGGCATCATGGTTATAGACTTGATTTCAATAGATATAATAAATAATACATTTAATTACTAATTTTGAGTAGTGTTTGTTAAGGCAAGACACCACAGGTGAATAAGGTCCAATTATACTAATAGAGAACCACCATCCTTTCCCTACTTGAGTAATTACAGTACATTAAGACAAACACAAGTTTTCTGAAACGTATGCAAATTAGGCACTGTCTAATTAATTATGCGCTAATTTGCATACATTTCCAGAACAGAAATCTAAACATCGGATACATCCAAAGTCTAATTATTGATTTATTTTGTTGATGTATCAGAATTAAAGGGGAGGGGATTTTGTATTTCTATTTTTATCTCTCCATAAATCAGAATATACTGTCAACAGACAGAAAAACATACATTTGCATTTTTACTTACTTTTTAATGCAATAAAAGCATCTGCTAAATGCATAAGTGTAAATGTAAAAATACTGTAGCACTGGGAAAACATCACATTTTATTGAGAACATGCAAAAA